AGGCCAATCGGCCAACACAAAACAAAGTTCAGTACAAAGCCTTAATAATGAGAGACTACACACACCAATGTAGCCTAATCGAAGCACAAGATCAAACTACTACAATGACCAACACTGCAAACACCTGAAAACAGAAACAATACACTAGACAACAAAATTAAGCTCAAAGCCAAACAAGAATACACCATTGACTCAAGACCTAGCATATCCCCATTTGATTCAGCTAAATTTCTTGAAACTCCCTCCATTCTTGTACTGCCCTGTCAATGATTGTCTTTGCAGCCATCTCTTTGCTTTCAAAAACCCACAGGTTCCTCACCTTCCATAGCCACCACAGTATATAGGTGCTTAGTTGAATTCTGTCTTCAGAAGTCTCCTTAAAGTTCATAGAACTCAGCCACCACCACCATTCTTTGAAACTAAAGTCCTCCTTCTCTGCTGGTTTTTGCCATTGAATAGGAGCCAATCTCCATGTTAGTTTAGCTTTAGGACATAAGAACAAAGCATGAACCACTGTCTCCTCATTTTCCCCACAACACTTGCAAATTGTATCAATCTCCATCCCCCTTCTCTTCAGATTGTAGTTCACAGGTAGTATATTAGTAAAGCATCTCCAAATAAAAATCTTGAGCTTACCTGTTACTTTGAGATTCCAGCACCTCAGCCTTGCCCTCTTGTTGTTATGGGCTAGATTACTTGTTTCAGCACATTGGTTCAAACTCCAATCTATCCTGCAGTACTCCTCATAAGCCTTCTTAACTGAAAACTTCCCTTTCTCAGAAAAGGTACATTTCCTCTGATCTGCAACTCTTGGATTAAGGGAATTAATGGCCATGATTTTCTCAGCCACTGCAGGTTAAAATAATGCTTGCACCAGCACTTTATCCCAGCTTTTACCATTATTAGTCAGAAGATCTTTAACCCTGAATAGACTGTGATCTAAATGCACTCTCAATGCAGGTTTCTCCCCTCTCATCAAACCAAACTCATCAAGCCTTGTGTCAGCTCCATTCTTAATCACAATACTCAAATGATTTTTCAGCCAAGGAATTAGGGCAGACCAAGAACTCCAGAGCCAAGAGACACCAGATTTTTTAGAATAATCAAAAAGAGAGTGTTGTGTACAAATTATTTTATTTTACCGAACACCGAATTAAATGATTCGTTTCCCGGGTCGATCTCTCGAGGAAAACTGTTCGGAATTTAATATTGGTGTTGATAACATATAAAATGAAAATAAAGCCTAAACATTCTAATCAAGCTGAATTGGATAATAATTAACTAAAATATCAACTAAGAAATAACATAAAATAATAATCTAGCTAAAAATATAAACGAGACAATAATAAAGAAGCTAGGGAATCGGGAATAAATCGCTTCCAGTTTTACACTCATTCAACGACAATCAATAACTCGGTTAAGTAGTTCAACTAACCAACTCATTTAGCGGTTCAACCATACTAACTCTCGTAATATATGGAAAAACATAAATGAGCAAATTAACGAAATAATTAACGCATAAACAATACGCCTCCGAACATGTCTATTTTAAATGAGCCAAGTTCTATCAATTTCTCC